GTCACAAGGGTAGTTTTATCACAGAATTCAGAGACCAGGACCCAGGGCTCTCCTCTTCCAGTCCACAGCCTTCCATTTTAGCTGTGGTTTTGGGCATAGCTGATTCAGATTCAGTAGGCTGGGGTATATGGAGCCTAGGTGTCTGTATCTTTTGTAAGTTTTGTGTTAAATTCAGATCATAGCCAGGTTTCACACTTGCTGGGAGGGAGGCCTCTGTGTAAGTGCAGTGGAATGAGGGAAACTGGATCGGATTCTGGAGAATGATGACTTGACCAGAACAGGAAAAGGATCATGAACACAGGTGATCAAAGGTGGTCGTTTGTTCATGTGGGCCTGGTAAGGAGCTGCCGGCAGGTCTAGGTGGGACTTGGAGGCCACTGGGCACCTAAGCCTCCATTTCCTCCTTGCCCAGCCTTGGGAGCACTGTGGGCTGCAGCTTCCTCCCTGGCAGATCCCAGCAGATCTGTCCGAAGCCGAGTGAGTGGAAAGGCACTCAGGCAGCAGGCCCAGGGCCAGCACCACCTGACTATTCCCGCTTACCTGTCAGCACTCGGTTCTCAGGTGTTTTCATCTGTTACTGTCTAGCTCTCCAGTGTTCCCAAGGGGCACGACTTGTGTTTTCCTTTGGTTACCCAACAGGTCCCTGGCACCGTTCCTGCAGAGCACAGAGGAGTTGAGTTGATGGTTAGTGAAGGAATGAGCTACAGAGGGGCTTGCTGGACAGGAACAGCTGTTATTTATCGAGGCCCTTTAAGCCAGGGACCTAGAGCCTCCCCGGGCATGTGCTCCTTCGTCCCCTTGGCCTTCTTGATGGAGGCCAAGCAGCTGTTGGTCTGTTTCCACAGATGCTCATTCAAGGCACTGAGAAGGGAGGATACTCATTAGGTAACCTGGGAGGCTGGAATTTACATCTGTGCTCTGGCCACTGTCCACACGCTTCCTCGCCCCCCATTCTGCAGCAAGAAAACAGTATGATAATCAAGAAATTATTTCTGTTTGGCTCTCAGTTGATTTGCCTACAAACAGATTCGTCTTCCTTACTTTGTCTAATTAGTCTAAAGGCAAATTAATTTTTCATTCCTTGAGTACATTGAAGGCAGGGGTCTAGACTAGGGGTCAGGAGCCCTGAATTTCATCCAGCCTTTGCTAATAGCTGTTGGTGGGAAGTCCCCTCCCCTCTCTGGACCGGAGTCTCCACTGCTGTAAAAGAAGAGTTAGAATTTATTCTGAGCCCTGTTACATATCAGAACTGCCGGGGCAGGTGGATCACCTGAGATTGGGAGTTCTAGACCAGCCTGGCCAACGTGGTGAAACCCCATCTCTACTAAAAATACAAAAATTAGCTGGGCGTGGTGGTGGACACCTATAATCCCAACTACTTGGGAGTCTGAGGCAGGAGAATTGCATGAACCCTAGAGGCGGAGGTTGCAGTGAGCCAGGATGCGCCACTGCACTTCAGCCTGGGCAACAAGAATGAAATTCCATCTCAAAAAAAAAAATAAATAAGTTCTTGCTAGATTTTCTATTCCAAAACTTTAGTTGAATGGCTGACATTTTATTTTTTGTTTGTTTTATTTGTTTGCTTGTTTTTACAACTGAACCCTGTTCTTTTTGTAACCTGGAGGGAGATCACCAGCCTCAGACTGAGGAGAAATTATTATTTTTTTAAGAATAAAAAATAATAATATGCTATGTTGCCCAGGCTGGCCTCGAACTCCTGGTCTCAAGCAATCCTCCTGCCTCAGCCTCCCAAAGCACTGGGATTACAGGCGTGAGCTCCGTGCATGGTCTAGAAATGACTGTTAAACCGTTGAATAATGTAGCTAGGTCTCTCCATTTGGATGATGACTCTGTGGTGGACAGTTTCCTCTCTCCACCCCGGCGTTCCTGGGTAAGAATAAGCAGTGGCAGATTTCACTTTCTAGGTTGGTCCCCTGCTGCCCCAAGCCAGGCACCAACTCAGCCACTTCCAAGCAGCTGCCCTGCCTGCACCCCTGTCATTTTGGTATGTCCTCACGGGAGGCAAACTCATTTCAGTGTAAGCTCAAACTAAGTGTAATTGGGACAGTAAATCTGCTGCTTAACAACAGCAAAAAAAAAAAAAAAAAAAAAAAAGTCCTGTGACAGAATTCACAGTCCTGGGGAAGTGATTTGAGGCTGAAGGAAGGGAGGGAGAGGCCTGGCCTTTGATTTAATTGCTTCTAGCCTGGGAACAAAGTCCAAGACATGTTAACCTCATTCACTCCAGAAAATGCACCACGACGACTTTCTAAAAGTCTATGGTGTGACAGTCTGAGGTTGGAGGAATAGGGACATGGTTTCATGAAAGTCTTTTTTTTTTTCTTTCTATGCCTTGCAATGTAACTGTAACTCCTGCTTTTCACCCTGTATCACTATCCTCACCTCCATTTTGGGGGCATTTACATCTATCAGGCAACATACCATGGGCTGCATATGCATTTTCTTTCTTTTTTTTTTTTTTTTTCTGAGATGGAGTCTCACTCTGTCACCCAGGCTGGAGTGAGGGGCCATGATCTCGGCTCACTGCAACCTCCGCCTCCCAGGTTCAAGCCATTCTCATGCCTCAGGCTCCTGATTAGCTGGGATTACAGGTGCCCACTACCACACCCAGCTCATTTTTATATTTTTAGTAGAGACAGGGTTTCACCAACTTGGCCAGGCTGGTCTCAAACTCGTGACCTCAGGTGATCCACCTGACTCAGCCTCCCAAAGTGCTGGGATTACAGGTATGAGCCACTGCGCCTGGCCTGCGTATGCGTTTTCTCATTCAGTCTGCACAACAGCCCTATGAAGCAGTCTTTTCTCTTTTTTTTTTTTTTTTGAGATGAAGTCTTACTCTGTCACCCAGGCTGGAGTGCAGGGGAGTGATCTCAGCTCACTCCAATCTCCATCTCCCAGGCTCAAGCGATTCTCCTGCCTCTCAGCCTCCCAAGTAGCTAGAATTACAGGTATGCGCCACCACACCTGGCTATTTTTGTATTTTTAGTAGAGACGGGGTTTCTCCATGTTAGTCAGGCTGATCTCGAACTCTCAACCTCAGGTGATCCGCCCACCTCAGCCTCCCAAAGTGCTGGGATTACAAGCATGAGCCACTGCACCCAGCCAAAGTAATCTTATCCATAAAATCTCATTTTATGGATGAGAAAACTGAGGTTCTGGGAGACAAGCGACTTGCTGGTGGTTTGCACTGCACTTAAGTGGAGGAGCTGATTATGAAGAAGTCACTCCCCAACCTTTGTGCTGCCATTGCTCAGTCTGAGGGAGCCACAAACTGCAATGCCAGCTCAGAGTTACACCACCAGCATCACCCAGCCTCCTGGCCTTTCCCTCACATTCCTTCTTGGCAAGACCCGTATTTTTCTAAACCTCAGGCTTAGTGACTGCCCAGCCACTGCTTGTGGCTCAGCTCCTCATCTGGGCCACTTCTTGGTTGAAGAGGAGGCTTGTGCGTCTCCATCTAGACCAGCCACCCAGGCAGTCCTAGTGCTTGCATTCAAGGGGGAGTGATCCATGGGACCGTCTATGGGGAGGAGGCTTTGGGGCAAAAGAGGGCCCAGGCACCTGGACTTTATTTGTCTCTCCTGCAACTTCTGTGGGTGGCTGCAGGCAGGCCATTTCTTCCCTATGAGCCCCAGTCTCCTAAACTAGAAAGTAGAGGCCAGGGGGACCCATGGGCATCTGAAGAGTGCCGTGGGCCTGTGGGTAACCCCCCACATGGTCACTGAGGAAGGAGAGCTGTGCAAACCCCAGGCACAAATAGTGCCTGAAGAATATCTTAGTTTATTGTGCTATTACTCAACTATTTCCTTTATATAATCCTTTATATTAGTTTATAGAATTAATGCCTGAAGTATAACTTATTGCTTACATATATCTAGCTTATATAATCATATTTAGTACTTATATCTAGCATACTTAATTTTGTATACTCTTTCTCTATAATCATATAGGTATTGTAGTCAGAGCTGTACTGACACATTTAATGCTGATTTATAAAATCCTTCTCTATAACCATATAGTAGTTTGTAGTAGGAGGAATGCCTAGAGCAGCCACAAAGCAGAAGCAGTACATGGGAAAACAGCCAAACAAAGACACAGGCGGTGGCGTCCCTGCCTGAAAGGGCATATGCTGTATGGCAGGCTTGGAGCAAGAGCCTCTCCTCCTGATAAAGGAGTTGTAGTACCTTGTATCCAGTTCCTGTGGAAAGTAGGCCTCAGGCCTGAGATCCTGCAAATAACCAAGGGAGAAGAACCCCTCTGGTGTGACTGGGTCATGGTGGCTGTACACCCTGTCAGCCTTTTCTTTCTTCTGTGCTAGGTCAAATCATCCTCCCATAAATATCTTAAAGAAGAGCACAAGTCTGTCAGCTCCCACTGCATTGGCTTACAGTACCTTTCTATTAGAAATCCTTTGACGTCTCCAGCCCCCAGATAAAGAAGTGTTGTGCAGGACACCTGTTGCACACAGCCCACCTCCTTGCCCTGTGACCTAATGGGGGTGGACCCCTTTTCCGTACACGACACTCTACTACTGTGCGCAGCCCACCTCTCTGCCCAGGTGACATAAGGGGGTGGCCCCCTCGCTTGTGACTCACATGATTATGTATGCCCTATCACTAAGCCTATAGCTAATGACCTCACTTACGACCCTTCCCCCTGCTTGTACATAATAAATACAGACGCTTCTGGACGTTCGGGGCCTCACCTGTCTCTGCTCGTAGGTGGCGTGGCGCCTTGAATCCAGCTGCTCTTCTCCATTCTTTCAGTGTCCTCTCTCTTTACTTCTCGGATCCTGCACCTCAGCACAGCATAAGGGACACCCACGACACTGAGGGGCCAACAGCCCTACATGGGCCCACCGCAGAGAGACAGATGCCTCCTTCCTATAGGAAGTTGGCCTCCAACAGAATCCTGCCTCCTCCAGGAAGCATGCTGCCTAACAGCACCTGCCCTTGCCCTGCCTGCTCAGCATTTTGTTGTTATTTTGAGATAGCGTCTCACACTGTCACCGGGCAGGAGTGCAAAGGCAGTATCTCAGCTCACTGCAATGCACTCCTCCTCCTGGGCTCATGCAGTTCGCCTGCCTCAGCCTGGCGACTAGCTGGGATTACAGGTGCACACCACCACACCTAGCTAATTTTTGTATTTTTTTAGTAGAGATAAGGTTTCACCATCTTGGCCAGGCTGGTCTCAAACTCCCGACCTCAGGTGATCCACCTGCTTGGCCTCCCAAAGTGCTGGAATTACAAGTGTGAGTTACCATGTCCGGCCACATTTGCCTTCTTTGTGAGTGTTTTTTTAAAGAATACTGGAGGTCTTTCCTGGAGGGTTTTTCCTCTCCAGATGGCCCCAGAGTACCCCAAGCTCAGGGCATGGCCCTGCCTAGCCGGGCTGTCTCCCTTTTCTTCCTTTGCCTCTTCTTCCCAAATCCTTTTGGCCCAAACTGATCAGGTCGCTGGCCTCTGCCAGGCAGGTCCTTCTGGTGCTCCTCTGGTGGACCGCCCCCATCGGCCACGCTTGCCTTTCTCTCTAGTGATTCCTCGGCTCCTGGCTCCGCAGTCTCGGGACAGCCCTTTCCTGGGAAGATGTTCTTGGTGGGCCTGACTGGGGGCATTGCCTCCGGCAAGAGCTCAGTGATCCAGGTGTTCCAGCAGCTGGGCTGTGCGGTGATTGACGTGGACGTCATGGCCCGACACGGTGAGTGGGAGGGGCGGATTGGGGGGTCAGGCACAGCAGCTCCCCGTGCTTCTGGTCTTCTTCCACACTTCTCTTTTTATAAGTCCCAGAGGAGGGGAAGGCCCCTGTCGGCCCTGGTCTGACTTCTGTCCCTGCCCCATGCTTGCCTTCTCTGCTCTTCTATTTCCTTTTTTTTTTTTTTTTTTTTGAGACAGAGTTTCACTCTTGTTGCCCAGGCTGGGGTGCAGTGGGGCAGTCTCAGCTCACTACAACCTCCGCCTCCCAGGTTCAAGCGATTCTCCTGCCTCAGCCTCCCAAGTAGCTGGGATTACAGGCCTGTGCCACCACACCCAGCTAATTTTTTGTATTTTTAGTAAAGATGGGGTTTCTCCTTGTTGGTCAGGCCGGTCTCACACTCCCAGCCTCAGGCAATCTGCCAGCCTTGACCTCCCAAAGTGCTGGAATTACAGGCATACGCCACCATGTCCCGCCCCATTTACTCTTTTTAGAACAGCTCTGCCCCATTACCAGCACAAGGGACTGTGTGCACTCTGCTCTTTTCCTTCACTGCTTTCTCTCCCCTCATTTTGCTTTTGTTCCACCTGGAAGAGGCAACTGAGTTCTCCCATCATTTTGCCCCTGGTCTCTGAGGTCCTCTGGCTGGCCCCGAGGCTCTAGGGAGTGACCCAGCTTCTTCCTCCTGCCACAGTCGTGCAGCCAGGATACCCTGCCCACCGGCGCATCGTAGAGGTCTTCGGCACTGAGGTCTTGCTGGAGAATGGCGACATCAATCGCAAGGTCCTGGGGGACCTGATCTTTAACCAGCCTGACCGGCGGCAGCTGCTCAACGCCATTACCCACCCTGAGATCCGCAAGGAGATGATGAAGGAGACCTTCAAGTACTTCCTCCGGGGTAAGTGCCGGGTCCTGGGCCAGGGTGGGGGCAATGCCCTCTCTCTCCGGGACCAGGGCTCTTCTCCTCTGCAGAAAGTTTGGCAAGGGTAGGGGAGCTGCTTATCCCAGCTGATGAGCTCACAGTGCTTACTGGCACCCCCTCCACGCAGAGCCCCATACCAGCCCCAGAGGAAAGAAGCTTATGCCCTCAGCTCTTAAGGAGGCTGACAGTTTAATGAGAAGAGACACATGAGGCTTTTGACCCATGATTCCAGGAAATAAGTTGGTTTCTCTAGTAGGGATGGGAGTAATAAGAGCTAGTGAATAATGGATCTTATATGTAAGATCTGAGTTCAAATGCTGACCCTGACAGTTTCTAGCTATGTGACCCCATCAAGTGATGTAGCCCTCAGCTCGTTTTCTCATCTGTGCAGCGGTGATAATATAATATGAGACTGGGTGCAGTGGCTCATGCCACTGGACGTGGTGGTGTGCACCTTTAATCCTGGCTACATGGGGGAGGCTGAGGCAGGAGAATCGCTTGAACTGGGGAGGTGGAAATCGCGGTAAGCCAAGATTGCACCATTGTACTCCAGCCTGTCTGGGCAAAAGAGGCTCCATCTCAAAAAAAAAAAAAAAGAAAAGAAAAGAAAAGAAAAAGAAAATAATGCAATGTGAGCATGTCAGGAGGACTGAGGGTCCACGTCGGCGACTGTCAGTTATCACACATGTAAACTCCAGTCGGGGTCAGGTTTGGTTCTGGCTGAGCCATCTGGGAAAATGAGTTTGTAGACTGAAAGTTGGGGAAGGACAAAGATGGCCAGGGCAGGTGGGGGAAGGGTGCCAAGTGGGGACTGTCCTCTGTGGCTTAGGCTCCATGGAGAGTTAGGTACAGGGGCAGGGACAGCGAGGCAGTGCCCAGATGGAAAGGAGGAGAGTGTTTGAAAAGCAGGAGTCTGGGGCCAGTTGGCAGGAACCTTCTTCCAAGCCATATGCCATGGTTCAAGCCCTGTTCTATTTTATTTTATTTTTAGAGATGGAGACTCACTGTGCTGGCCGGAGTGGTCTCAAACTCCTGGCCTCAAGCAGTCCTCCCACCTTGCCCTCCCGAAGTGCTGGGGTTACAAGCGTGAGCCACCACACCTGGGCTAAGTCCTTTTCTTCAGGACAGTATTGCACAGGGGTGGCCTGACGATTACTGTCCAGGATGGGGTCAGTCCCCAGGAGAAATGGGAGAGAGAACAGAGGGCAGTGGCTTGGGATCCAGCGAGAGGCTGGCCTAGGGACGCTGGAGATTTGCCTGCCAGCCTTTGGCGTGTGTGGCCTCCAGCCTGGGCCTCCGAGTTAAAGGCCTGGCTGCCTGTGTCCCCACTGTCAGTCACTGCACTGAGACTTTCCTTCCATGAGGGCATGGGGGAACTTTTTTTTTTTTGGAGACAGAGTCTTCCTCTGTCACCCAGGCTGGAGTGCAGTAGCATTATCCCAGCTCACTGCAACCTCCCAGGATCAAGCGATTCTTCTTCCCTCATCCTGGGTAGCTGGGGTTACATGCACATGCCACCATGCCCAGCTAAGTTTTGTATTCTTAGTAGAGATGGGGTTTCACTATATTGGCCAGGCTGTTCTCAAACTCCTGACCTCATGATCTGCCCGCCTTGGCCTCCCAAAGTGCTGGGATTATAGGCGTGAGCCACCATGCCTGGCTGAGGGAGCCTTTTACACTGTGACATGCCTAAGCCTCTTATTCTGCCATGCCTTGAGTGGGGAACCTCCCCCGACCCTCATCCCCCTCTGGCCAATACCTCCCTCCAAAAGAGGGATGACTGGACAGACATCCATGACGTTGACCCCACCGCCCTCCCTGGGCCGGGCCAGGCTGGAGCTGGCTCTGGTATCCTCCCTGCTGAAGCAATGTGTGCGCTCATCTCAGCACCTCGCCACCTCAGCACCGCGCTGCAAGCCTCCTCCCCACCTCCTCCCTCAAAAAGAGTCTCTGGGCTCTTTGTGCTGCCTCCTATCTTGCACCAGTTTCCCTCCCTTCTCCCTCCCAGAACTAAGTCGTCTGCCTTTCACTCCTGCCCTTTTTGCATTGTCTCCCAGGCCAGTTACTGGTACATCTGCAGGGCTTCAAGGCGGCAGTGGCTCTCCCCTTTTGAAATTAAACATCGGATAATGTCACCCGCTCCAAAGCTCTTTCACTGTGTCATCTACCCAGCCTCCCGCCTCCCTAGCCACCACCACTTAAATAAAAGCCAGAGAGCTCTTTTCAGCTCGATAAGGTGAAAAATGGGGACGACAGCTGTGGCTTCCACAGTCCCAGTTTTTCCCTGATGAGTATAACAAATACAGCTGTCAAAGTTGGTATAATCAAACGTCAGATAAGATCACCAGCTGTTGGGGACTTCTCTGTGTAGGCAGACGGATGTCTTAATAGAGTCAGGATGGTTTGCAGAGCTTATCAAGCAGGAGGGATGTGACAGCTGAATAGCCCTTTGCTGGTGAACCGAAGAGCTGACCACGCACTCCCCAGAGGGGCCAGAGACAGAACCGCGATGGGAGAGGAAGTGATGGGAGCTGAGCAGGAGACGGAGATAAGAGGCCCGGAGAGGATCCGGTCTTGGCTCCTATTCCAAGTTAGGGGGGCGCGCTGCACTGCTGGCCTCCCCCTGCAATAGTACCATCATTTGGGGGCAGCTAGCGAGGGACTGCTGAAGGGCGCTGTGTGGTTCACATTTATTCAAGGCTCATTTCATCTTTACCATCATCCTGTGAAGTCGGTCTTGTTGTTGTTGTTGTCTTGTTGTTTGGTTTTTGGTTTTTATTTTTTGCTCTTGTTGCCCAGGCTGGAGTGCAGTGGCATAATCTCAGCTCACTGCAACCTCCGCCTCCCAGGTTCAAGCGATTCTCCTCCTACAGCCTCCTGAGTAGCTAGGATTATAGGCATGCGCCACCATGCCCAGCTAATTTATTATATTTTTAGTAGAGATGGGCTTTCATCATGTCAGTCAGGCTTGTCTTGAACTCCTGACCTCAGGTGATCCACCTGCCTTGGCCTCCCAAAGTAGGTATTCTTTTTACTTATTTTATTTATTTATTTAGAGACAGAGTCTTGCTCTGTCACCCAGGCTGGAGTGCAATGGCATGAGTGCAATGGTCTCGGCTCACTGCAAACTCCGCCTCTCAGGTTCAAGTGATCCTCCTGCCTCAGCCTCCTGAGTAGCTGGGATTACAGGCACCCGCCAACATGCCCTGCTAATTTTTGTATTTTTAGACGAGATCAGGTTTCACCATGTTGGCTGGGCTGGTCTCAAATTCCTGACCTTATGATCCACCTGTCTTGACCTCCCAAAGTGCTGGGATTACAGGCGTGAGCCACCGCACCTGGCTTCTTTACTTATTTACACAGATGAGGTTTACACAGAAGGGGGCCTGAGGTCACACTACTAACCAAGGTGTGTCATCAGAGCCCATGGTTCTAACACCCTTGTTCAACTGCGGGCTTCTAGGCTTACTGAGTGGCAGGTCCTGGGGAACCGGAAACCAAGCAGCTGAGATTGCCACCCCCACCTCCACTGTCCCTGCATCACTTTGAGTGCCAGTGTCCTGTGACACCCCTGGAATTGGTGTGATGTGTGTCTGGTTCTGTGCTTGAAAGTGTTTGGAGTGGGGCGCTCCGGGGGTGCAGTCTCCTGCCCCAGCCAGGCCTGGGGTCTCTGGGCTGAGCAGCATTTCCCTGTCCCTCATCCTCCTTGCTTTCCTGGAGCCCTCCCAGCTTGGTACACATCCTGGGAGGTCACTGGCCTAAAAAGAACAAGGAGCGTGTAGCCCACAGCAGCCTAGGGATGTGCTCACTCACAGTGGGTGGGAGTGCCGCCCTTGACTGGCCTTGGCTTGTAGTAGGAGGGGCAGCCAGTGCCTTTTACCCTGCGGGAGTGTTATACAGTATTAGTCATAATCACCCCCTCTGCCTCCAGATCCAGGCCTTACCCTGGCTGTAGGTCTGCCTCTGATGGAAGAAGCAGGTTCTTTCTGCCGCTGCCACCCCCATGTGAGCCTCTTATGGAGAGCTGGTAGAGACAGCCAAGTTTGGCACCTGGCTCTTTGGGGAGAGCCTATCCTTTGGGTGTTTTTGTTTTTCCTGAGGAATAACAACTCTTGGGATTCAAGATCAAGGTGAACTAAACACTTAGTGCCTTCCCTGATCGCCTCCTTGCCTCACGTGGCCTGAGGCCTCTGCTTCAGCCACAGAGTAGAGCCTCCCTGTCCTTGTGCTGTGCTGGTCCTCATTCCTAGAATCCTCACCTTCTCATTTTCAAGTATCAAAAGACCTGCCCACTTTTCACGGCCCACACAAGTGCCAGCCCTTCTACAAGGTCTTCCCTGATCAGCCATCCAGAAATGATTTTCTGCAGTGTTCTGCCCTGCACGGCATTGAACCGGCGAGCGTGTGGGGGGTGTGTCCTTGCAAGGTCTGCCCTTCTGCTGGGCGCCCTGGACGGTAGGGCCCAGAATAGCAGTGCTCAGCGTGTGCTTGCGGAATTGAACTTGGGGATTTTTCACCCTCTCCCCAGGATACCGCTATGTGATTCTGGATATCCCCCTGCTGTTTGAGACCAAGAAATTGCTGAAGTACATGAAGCACACTGTGGTAGTATACTGGTGAGTAATGGTGTGTGGCACGCCCTGGCTGGAAGGGAGGACCACTAGGGTATCTGGAAAACAGCTCACATCACTTTGCACTTTGCCCTTTTCCCAGGGGGTGGCCAAGAGGCACCAGGGTTTGGGCAGCAGTGCCCAGAATCTATAGAAACCAAACTTTGTGCCTGACCGGGATAGTCCTGGGGGCAGGTGTGGGAAGGGATGGCCACCAGGCTTCTCTAGTGTTTGGGGAGCGCTCCCCCTGCTGGCCACTGCGGGCACATCAGCCCAGATGCCTGGCCTCACCCTGGGCCACCCTGTTACTCAGTGGCTCCTTCTTCCTCCTGTAGCATCTTTATTACTTCGCATAGTTTACCCCTCAGCAGGAGGCGGTCAGGACAGGTGTCGATATTCCTGAGTTACTGAAGATAAAATTAAAGAGGGGACAGGTACAGAATGTGTCCAGGATCACCCTGTTATGAACAGAAGTTTTCGTGGAAGGGACTGTCACAGCCCAGCTAAGGAAGGAGCTTTGTTCTCAGAATCCCCCAGGACATGAAGCCAACCAGAATCCAGGTCTGACGAACAGAGGAGGATCAACCTGTGGAGGAAAATGAGTCCCTGTCCCAGTGGGGTGAGAGTAGATGAGGCTGCAGGGTGTCTCAGCCGCCCAGAAACTTCCCAGATGCCACCCACAAATACAGCAGACACATAGGTGGGCACTTGACTCTGCCAATATTTTGGGCATAGGTTGGCTCTCAAGGGCCTAAGGCCATGGAGGCTCCCAGCATGCTGGGTGTGGAGCCTGGAGCACTCAGTGCCCTGAGAATCCCCCTGCCTTTGCCCCTGGGTCCCCATGGGCTGTCACTGAAAGTCCAGTCCGAATCCCAGTGCAGGGATGCAGGCATCCTCTCAGCTCCCCACTCGGCCCTGCTGCCTGATGTAAACCTGCCACCTCTTTGGGTTCTTTGTTCCCTGTTTGTAAAGGTGTCAACTAAGGTCAAGCAGACCCCACGAAGACCTGGAATTCTCTGTGCCTTAGTAGCACAATTGGAACTTTGTACCTAGGAAAAAAACATTTTTTTTCCAACGGATCTTAGAGGCTAGGTGTGGTGGCTTACGCTTGTAATCCCAGCACTTTGGGAAGCCAAGACAGGTGGATCACCTGTGGTCAGGAGTTCAAAATAAGCCTGGCCAACATGGTGAAACCCCGTCTCTACTGAAAATACAAAAACTAGCTGGGCATTGTGGCAGGTACCTGTAATCCCAGCTACTCGGGAGGCTGAGGCAGGAGAATTGCTTGAACCCAGGAGGCGGAGGTTGCAGTGAGCAGAGATTACACCATTGCATTCTGGCCTGCGTGACAAGAGTGAGCAAAACTCCATCTCAAAAAAAAAAAAAAGAAAGAAAAAAGGATCTTCGAGTGTAGATGTGAAGACAGAGCAGTCACCAGATGACTGTGTGCCCACTCAGCCACTTGCCCTTCCTGTGCTTTTCTTTGACTTGGTCTGTTTGCTGAGAGTGGAGGTGGCCATGGGTTTTGGTGGGTGACTGGGGCTTTGCTTGATCATATGTGCTCTCCAGGAGACCTTCAGCCCCACTAGCCAGTCAGAGGACCCTTTGCCAGAGTCCTGGGTACCACTCATGCCCTGCTTTCAGCGGGTGTGGGTGTACAACCCTTGAAAGATGCCAGAGAAGTAATGATGCTTTTTACCAAAGGGCTCTAGGCTTTACAAAAATAAGGATTCCCTTGTGGATTTCTTTAACTGACAAGCTACCCCTGGTGCATTTGAAATTACTTGGGACATCTCCCAAAATGTGATTATACCGAAACATGATTTCATGGTGGTTTCTTTTTTTTGAACCAGGGTCTTACTCTGTCACTCAGGCTGGAGTGCAGGGGCACAGTCACAGCTCACTACAGCCTCAACCTCCTGGGCTCAAGCAGTCCTCCCACCTCAGCCGCTTGAGTAGTTGGGATTTCAGGCATGCAGCATCACATCTGAATAATTTTTTTTTTTTTTTTTTGAGACGGAGTTTCACTCTTGTTACCCAGGCTGGAGTGCAATCGCCCAGTCTCAGCTCACCGCAACCTCCATCTCCTGGGTTCAGGCAATTCTCCTGCCTCAGCCTCCTGAGTAGCTGGGATTACAGGCGCGTGCCACCATGCCCAGCTAATTTTTTGTATTTTTAGTAGAGACGGGGTGTCACCATGTTGACCAGGATGGTCTCGATCTCTTCACCTCGTGATCCACCCACCTCGGCCTCCCAAAGTGCTGGGATTACAGGCTTGAGCCACCGCGCCCGGCCTCACAGCTGAATAATTTTGTATTTTTTGTAGAGATGAGGTCTTGCTGTGTGGCCCAGGCTGGTCTATCCCAAGCTCAGTGATCTTCCTCCTTTCCTCCTCAACCTGCCAAAGTGCTGAGATTATAGACATGAGCCACTGTGCCCAGCCAATTTCATGTTTTTGAAGAATTTGCCAATTGTGGGATAAGTGGGTAAGAATCCTATTGCCACAAATTGTACCAAGTCTTAGACTAACTATGATAGAACCATTTCTGAGTCCCAGGAAGGGCTGTTGGAGGTGCTGCCCCACATCCAGGAGGCTCTGTGGTCTGGGCCACACCTTCAGGAGGATGTGCACCTGCTGGGAGCCCCAGGCCATCTCCATTCTCACACCAGATGCTCCCAGCCACAGATCTGTGGTCTCTCTGATGAAGGGTGGATTTAGTCCTTGTTCTCAGCCAGGCAGGTATTGGCCCCACAACCTCAACAGTACACTGACCCCATAACAGAGGAAATCTGTAGCTCGTGTAGTTCATTTTCATGGAGAGTGGCTGCACTTGTTTCTGGCCTCGCTTGGTCTGCTTCCCAGAATCCCTAAGAAGGAACCAAACTGCCCAGGTGGGAGGATCGCTTGAGCCCATGAGTTTGGGACCAGTGTAGGCAACACAGCAAGACCTCGTCTCTGTATTAAAAAAAAATAAAATAAAAAAGGCCAGGCATGGTGGCTTACACCTCTAATCCCAGCACTTCGGGAGGCTGAGGCAGGTGGATCACCTGAAATCAGGAGTTTGAGATCGGCCTGGCCAACATGGTGAAACCCCATCTCTACTAAAAATACAAAAATTACCGGGGCTTGGTGTTGCGTGCCTGTAATCCCAGCTACTCAGGGAGGCTGAGGCAGGAAGATCTCTTGAACCCAGGAGGCAGAGACTGCAGTGAGCAGAGATTGCGCCACTGCACTCCAGTCCAGGCAAGCAAGACTCTGTCTCCAAAAATAAATTAGCCGGGCATGGTGTGGCACACCCCTGTAATCCCACCTACTCGGGAGGCTGAGGCAGGAGAATCATTTGAACTCCGGGGGGTGGGAGGTTGCAGTGAGCCAAGATCATACACTCCAGCCTGGGTGACACTGCACTCCAGCCTGGGTGACAGAGTGAGACTCTGTCTCAAAAAAAAAGAAGGAAGAAGGAACCAAACTGTAGTGATCAAACCCTTCCTTTTCAGAACTAGGAAAACTCAGGCCTAGTGACAAAGCAGAAAGACCCCAAATGGTAGAAACAGCTGCTGCACCCCTTTCTGCTCTTGTCCCCATTGAGGGGCTGAGGTAGCTCTGAGAGCTAGAGGGGTGTTAGCAGTGACCCCATTCCAGAGGACTGACTGTAGCCCAAGGCAAGAGGGATTTCCCTAAGGAAGGACCCAGACGGTGATCTCAGGGTGGGTGACGAAGATATTCTTTGAATTTCTCTTGGAGTTGGGAGACTTGGTATTGCTCAACTTAATCTGCAGTGCGAAGTCCTGTCCCACAACTAAGAGGGACCAATTCTCATGTCCTTGATCCTCTTTGAAGCACCTGGGGCTGGTCTGTCCCACATCATCAGTGGCATTAAGCACAACAGATACCATGTCAGCACAGTCCTTGTGCTCTAAAATGTTCAGGGGAGGGGCACGGCAGCAAGGAGAGGGTCTTTGTGGTGGCTCAAGGAGATCTTTTGGATACCGCAGGCACCGGCCCCCAGGGGCACTGCCGGAAGCGTCTAGCTCACAGGCATAGGCCTTTCGGTAAAGGTCACCCATCCAGAGATCCAGGATGTAGCTGGTTCCAGGTGATGAAATCTTCCCATCTTATGACTGGGGAGTCTCAGGTCTAGTAACAAAGTGAAGAGACCCCAGATGGCAAAAAAAGAGCTGTGCCCGAAGTTCTCCTCCTTGTCGGTATTAAAGGGGTTTCGGTATCCCATAGAGCTCTGGGATTCTCACAGCGAGTGGGCAGGGTGGGAGGCCGCCAGTGAGTGCCCAGGCCTCCTTCCTTGGTGGTGGGACTCTGAGTAACCCCCAGCAGGGTAGGGTTGGAGGGAAGATCCAGTCCCCTCGCTGTGCTCCAGCTGGGCCAGGCAGGGCTGCCTACCCCTGTAACTGGAGTGAGAGGGAGTCAGGGACCTACAGTGCCCTTTTGCCCTGTCCTTAGCGACCGGGACACACAGTTGGTGCGGCTGATGCGGCGGAACAGCCTGAGCTGCAAGGATGCAGAGGCTCGCATCAATGCCCAGCTGCCCCTGACAGAGAAGGCCCGCATGGCCCGCCATGTCCTAGACAACTCGGGCGAGTGGAGCGTCACCAAACGCCAGGTCATCCTCTTGCACGCCGAGCTGGAGCGCTCCCTGGAGTACCTGCCGCTGAGGCTGGGGGTCCTCACGGGGCTGGCTGGCATTGCCATCCTCCTCTACCTGCTCACCCACTACCTTCTGCCTTACGCCTAGCGGGGCACTCAAGGCAGGGAGCCCAGGCCTCCAACTGTCTCCTTGGAGGCCGAAGCCAGGTAACACTTCCTGTTTCCTCCCAGCCCCCTCTACACACACACACACACACACACACACACGGATGCTCTGAATCGGGGCTGGGCCCCTGCGACAGGCCATCCCTTCTTTGGAGTACATCCTATCTGAGGCCAAGAAACAGCCTGCTGTCCTTCCCACCTTCCCGAAGCACCACCTGCAGAACAGCAATCCTGATGGTGTGTGAAAGCAAGAGACTGCCATACATTTCTGTGGGCGGGGCTAGGGAACCCTGTCTCTGCGGCCCTCCCCAGCGCTGGGAAGCCAAGGGTTCACTGGGCTTGAACCCTCTCTGAGCACCTGCCCCGTCATGGCCTAAACCTCCTCGGTGGACCATGAGAAATCCCATTGGAGCAAGGGTTTCCACGTTCAGTCAGTAAGGCCCTCCCCTAGGCTGAGCCCTGGCCAGCATGCAGTGAGGGTTCTCTTGTGGATAATGCTGTAGCCAAGCAGGGCCAGGCCTCTTCTGGAGACCCCCACCTCCCCACGTGGAGTTTGTGCAGTGCTCCCACACCCCGCTCATGCCTCCCACCCCTGCTCTCACCTGGACCTCTTGGTACTCTGTGTGCACCATGCTTGCTGTTTCTTGGCTCTGTGCCTTCAACCTGCTGCTCCTGGCCTGGGATACCTTTTATTTTCTTTTTCTTTTTTTTTAACGTACCACCAGCTCTCAGTTCAGGCACTGTCTGAAGCCCCAGGCTGGGTTAGGTGGTCTAGGATACCAACTCCCCCTCAACATTTCACCTTAATCTGACAGTACAGTAATTAGCCAAAAGCTGCCTGGTTTTTCCTACTAGATTGTAAGCCCTCTGGGGACAGGGACAGTGTCTTATTCATTCTGTGTTCTTAGTGCAGAGCCTGGTTCGCTGTTGGTGCTTAATAAAGTGTGTTGATCTGAAATGCCCCAGACTAACCAAGGTTCCCAGACTTGGCTTCTTCCCCCACTGGGCTGGACTCCTCCCAGAGCCCAGGGGGAGGGGAGGGCCCCAGGAGGTACACTCGCCGTCAGACTTCTTCCTGGGTCCCAAGTGGACTGCAGCCAGGCCCAAGGCACCTTTGTGGGAGGCGGGTGGAGGGCTGGGGCAGCACCACCTTCTTGCCCCGCCTCCCCATCTGCCTTCCCCAACCCAGTTAGACCAGCGCAGACATCAGCCTTCCGTGCCAGGGCCTGCAGACCTGCTGATGTGTCGATCCTGCAGCCAGCAGCCTATTAAGACCAGAAATGAGTGTGATGGATGTGAATGTTGTGGTGGCCATACTTACTGCCCCCTTTCCTGGAACGTTGTGCTCAGAGTCTAGCTCATTAACTTACTGCAAACCCCTAAGGAGGCAAGGAAGGGCTGGATAAGGCAGTGGTGAGCTGCCGGGGGGTGGCCAGGCAGGATGAGAGTGGCAGGAGCCTGCTGCTTCCTCAGTTTGGTGCGACCCAGCAGGAGGGGAAAGAGGAGGGAAGATATGGACCCCCATAGTGCCCTGTTACCCCAATAACTGAAGAAATGGCACTTCCTGAGCATGCCAGGCACTGCTGGATGTGTAAGACCCTCTAGTTAACATAACATTGAGTATTTCCATCCCAGGCTCAGGAAGATGGAGGGATTTGGTTTAGGCTGCAGAGCCGGGCTTCTGAACTCTCCTGTTCCTTGAGGCTCTTGTCAGAGGGAGCCAGAGCCTATGGTTGGGGCTTGGGCTCAGGTTCCGGCTCCGCTTGCCATGTGACCTCCTGCCTTTAGTTTCTACTCATGCATCACGAGGCTTCATAGTGGAGGACACTGAAAACCTTTAGCACACTGTAAAGTTCCAGAGAATTAACTTTGTCCCTGACCCAGTGATCTGAGTTTGAAGCAAGAATGTCAGAGGATGGCCAGGCATGGTGGCTCACACCTGTAATCCCAGCATTTTGGGAGGCCAAGGTGGGCAGATCACAAGATCAAGAGTTCAAAACCAGCCTGGCCAATATGACAAAACCCTATCTCTACCAAAAATATAAAAATTAGCTGGGCATGGTATCAGGCACCTGTAGTCCCAGCTACTGGGGAGGCTGAGGCAGTAAAACTGCTTGAATCTGGGAGGCAGAGGTTGCAGTGAACTGAAATCACACCATTGCACTCCAGCCTGGGTGACAAGTGAGACTCATCTCAAAAAAAAAAAAAAAAATTAATGTCAGAGGATGGCAGGTGTGGAGAAACCTCAAATTCAGCCCTGCCCTGCCCAGGCCTCGCCACAGCTCCCTCTCCAGCTCCTTTTCCTCCCTGCCCCGGGTTGCCCTTCCCAGCCTTGGAAGTCCAAGGTGGCCTTAAAAGAAGGCCTGCTTTCTCCGAAGGGGGCTCGAGGTTGAGGTCGCTCAGCAGCTGCAGAGGTCGGACCTCTGGGACCCAGGCCCGCGCACGAGCCGGCAGCCTCCCGTTCGGCCGGCAGGTGGCAGCACCCTTCCGAGCTGGGCCGGCCTCGGCGGCGGGCACTCACCGAGCTGCTCCTAACTTTCCTCCTCTCCCGCCGCGAGCGGCCTCCGACTTCTGCCTAGTGGCGGGAGTTCAGGCCGGGTAGGCGCGGAGGCTCTGCCTGACTCCGGCCGCTAATTTGAAAGCTGCGTTGGTCGCCCAAGTCCTCTGAACCTGAGCTGCGGGTCCCGGGTGCCAAGAGGTGTGTCCCCCACCCCACCTACCGCGACGGTGACGGGCAGGGGACCCTGCAGCCGCTGCATTGCGTTCCCTCACTTTGGGCCTCAGCACCTGGCGGCACGGAGCAGTCACGACACCAGTGAGGGTGCAGACGCGCGCGCCTTCTGGCGGGGGACGAATGGCACTCCCAGGCCCAGCTGGCCCGAGGGTAATTCGCAGCGTTCACTTATCTCCTTGAAATCTCCCAGCTGAGTGAGGGAGACAGGTCCAGAATTTTACAGAGGCTCAGAGGTTGAGCCGGGGCCCAAGTAGCCAACAGGTGCAACCATCAAGTTTCTGGACTCCCAGTACAGTGCTCCTCCCGCCATCTTCACTGCTCCTATTAATACAGTTTGGCTCTTTAGTAATTGACGGCTCTTCTTCAGATGTTCATTCTATCTCTCTCCTCGTGGGGTGGGAGAGGCAGAGGAAGGTTTGGGACATTCCATGATGAGCCTCCGTGGCTAGAAGTTGAATGGAAGTAGGATGGCCGTGTCTGCTGAGTGCCTCTAGTTCTCACAAAGGCACTTTAGGTCAGAAGGAAACAGTCTTAGGGCAGGAGGAGGAATGTGGTGGCAGTGATGACTTCAGGTCATGTGGGCATATAGGAGTGGGCAGGGAGACCCTCCCCACCACATGGTGAGAAAGAAGGAGCAAAACGAAGGAGGTGATGCGGTGCCATAGGTTGCTGTCCAGCTCCTTCCAGAGAAGGATAGACGTGGCTGGTGGTTCCTCATCCCACCTGCAGAGCTGAGGCTGCACCCAGCTGGGACCCAAACCGCCTCTCTTTGCTCCCTACCTTCCCTTCCCCTCCCAGTCACTCAGATTCCAATACAATTTCCAGCTAACCAGCATGTCGATAGAACAAGTCGGGCGGCTGGATTGCTGGCCAATTACAGGAAATCATTCTGCTCCACAGCTCAGCGCTCAGGGAGGGAGAGGAAGGGAGGGAGGGAGGGAGGGAATTCGAGGGAGCAGGCGCCCAGCTTGCAGGCTGGGAACGGGCTTCAGGCAGAAGGCTGGGAGTGCTGCAGCCCCCCCAATCCCGGAGAGGTGGCGGGTGGGGAGGCTCCTGGGGACAGTTCAGCCCTAGGCTTATCCTCAGCCTCCTGCGGAGCTCTGGATCCAACTTCTGTGTGATGGGGAGATTGGTGCCCCAAGCCACTAAGAGAGAGAGAGCTGGGAGCTGAGTGTGGATGAGGAGGACCTGAGAATTGAGGGATAGAAGGGAATAGATAGGATAGAAATAGATAGAAGCCGAGATGGTGGGACCACCCTCTCCCAGAGCCTTGTGCACCAAGGACTGGGCGTCTGGGGCCCACAGGCAAGACCTGTGTTCTCACAGCCCAATGTGGGCCAAGGGGTACCTAGGAGGACAGGGAAGGGATTGACGGGGTAGGGGCCACATCCTGCAGCTGAGTGATCTAGCAGCAGCCTTGCCTGGTGAAGAAGTGAGTCTTCCACCCCAGAAGGTGGGGCACAGAAATGTGGGAGAGGCCAAGGGCCCCCTTCCTCACCTTCCCAGCTCCTCTGCCTCAGCTCCCAGCTCTGGCCCTCAAAATTTCACTCAGATGAAAGAACCTCAACTCCCTTCCTCTTTCCATGGGTCTGAATCTCCCTCTGCCTTCTATGCCAACCTGAATGCCTCTTTTCCAGCCCCCACCCCTCCCATCACATCCCTCCCAGAACTGTCCCTGTGCCCCAGGCTGAGCTACGCTGGCTGACCAGAGATGCTCCGCCACCAGCCCAATGCTGAGCTCTTCTTCCCAGCTCTTCCCCTCTGCCCTCAAAGGACTGGAAGATCCTTGAGGAAGAGAAACTTCCCTGTGGGCTAACTTCACCCAGTGAATGGCTATTGCTGTTTGTCTTGAATCCCAAATATTACGCCTGTAATCTCAGCAATTTTGGAGGCCAAGGCAGGCGGATCACAAGGTTAGGAGTTCAAGACCAGCCTGACCAACATAGTGAAACCCCATCTCTACTAAAAATACAAAAGTTAGCCAGGCATGGTGATGCATGCCTGTAGTCCCAGCTACAGGTAAGGCAGGAGAATCACTTAAACCCAGGAGTTGGAGGCTGCAGTGAGCTGAGATTGCACCACTGCACTCCAGCCTGGGCAACAGAGTGACACTTTGTATCAAAAAAAAAAAAAAAAAAAAGTAATTGTGACCCAATGATCTCCTTCTCTGCTCCAGGCTGCGGCCACCTCCCAGGCCCCCTCTCCAACCCCCCAGGATCTAACTGCCCTTCTCCTAATTCCAAGCCCTCCGTTTCAGAACCTCCAGGGTTGGTTCCTGGGATGGATTCACTGGCAGCTCTTTGGCCAACCCAAGAGTAGACAGGTGGAGAGACATGGGAGAGGAGACGGGCCTCGGAGCCCAGTGCACCCAGCATCCAGCGGCTCTCAGAAGAGACCTGAGTGATTGCACCGAACAGCAAGGCCATCTTCCAAGTTTCTCTGGAGAGGTGCGTGGGGAGAACAGGGTCAGCGCCCCGCGACCACTCCTTCCCCGGGTTCTCTAGCCGAGGACACAAGCTCGCAGTCCGCGGTGGAGGTGTTGGGACTGGCCCTGTGTGCGACCCCCGCTTGACACACGGTGACCGCCCCTCCACTCAGCTGAGCTGAGATGAAGCCGCCGCTCCCGGGCTCCTAGCGCCGCCTCCGCCGTCTCTCTCTCGGGCGATGCCTCCTGCGGGCCGGGCGCCCAGTGCTCTGCGATCCGGAAGAGGGCGCGCGCCCGCCTGGCCCCCGTCAGCCGCGTCCCCTCCCCTCGCACCGCGCTCGCCAGCCTGCGGGCTCCGCGACATCGATCGGGCCTCGGGGACCCGGGCAAGCCGCCTCCCCACCCCTCGCTTTTCGCTTTTAATTGAAGTTTGTTTGAGCAGAGCGCGGAGCGGTCAAAGGCAGAAACCAAATATTTAGTTGCTGCAAATTGGCACCTCCAGATCAATTACCCGGCGGGTGTCAGGGCTGCGCCGCCCCCCGCGCCCCGTGGAATCTCAATGCCGCGCTGCCCCCGCCCGGGCCGCCCTCCTCCATTCTGCTGCACGTTTCTCATCAGCTCCAGCCATACATCACCCGTGGCCGCGAGGGAACAGATTTTCAATGGGAAAAGTTCCCCGAGAGGGTCCTCGTTGCTGATTCCCGCCGCGCCCTGCGCTGTCTGGCCCCTGCTCCCACCTGGCCTGTCTGATGGAGACAGCCGATGAGGGGAGTGAGCTCCAAAGCAAAGATTTGGGGTCAGGCAGACCAGGCCCAGTCCTAGGAACTCCCCTTACCCGCTGGGTGACCTTGGCGAAGTTACTTACGCTCCCTGAGCCGCGGAGTACCCGCCAAACATGGGGGCTCAACCTTCACCTTGCGGGGTCAACAGCACGGAGGGACAGCACCTTGCCCAGGGCTGGCACGCAGTGGCTTTCCACAGATATTAGTTCTTACCCTGGTACCGGGTAAAATAGGTTCTAGAATGAAGTGAGGGACGGCGAGTTTGAGGCGACTCAACCAAGCCACTGAAAAATACCAAAGGGAAAGCAGGAGACAGCCAGTGTCCCCTGTGTCCCTGGCAGGGGTGGGATGGGCTCCAGGACCCTGGGCGAGCTCCAGCAGGGAGAGTCCTGAGCCCCAGCCCAAGTGCATCTGGGCACAACTAGTAGAGAAGCCACTTTTCCAGTACCGGCGTGGAGAGTGAGATGATCCCAAGGCTTCAGCCAGGGAAGGAGGCTGGAGGGATCTGAAGAAGGTCACCAAGGGCTCCTGATTCATGCCAAGCTGAGTTCCAGGAGGCCAGCCCTGCAGCAAAGGGCGGGGGCGGGAAGTGGGGGGGGAGGGGGTGTCAGGACAGTTGGGCTGTAGCTGAGGCTTTGCCTTCTCCTGGCTACATGTTACTAGTAAAGTGCTTAACCTCAGTTTTCCCATGTGTAAAATGGGGCTGACACCCTCTGCCTCCCAGAGCATTTGTGAGGAGTAAATGATGTCTGGGAGAGGGGAGGAAACTCACAACGGGCATGAAGAAGATAGGGCCAAGTTTGTGTGGGAGGCGGCTCGTTTCCCAGGCTCAAGACTGCTCCCAGCCCAAGAGCCACCGAGGGAACTGGCATCAAATGCTCAGCCTGGCATTTTTAATTGGCTGCTCTTCCAGAGTGACAAGGTCTCTGGGAGGGAGGAGAGGTTAGGGGAAGACTGTGAGCCTCAGGCTTAGTGCTTTGAGACCCCTTTTTAAAGAATGAGTCTCCTCCCCTACCAGCACTACCCCACTGCTGTCCCACCTGCAGCCCTCAGTGCCGGAGTCGACCCCACCTGGAGGAAAGTTCTTTTCCCATCAAATCCAGAGTCTAGGTGGAAAGGCAAGGTTAACATGGAATCCAGAGCCTCGGTTCCCTGCCAATGGGAAGCAAACTCACTCCTTGATTTTCCCACCTGTGAAATGGGACCACAGTCAGTAATTATGAGGTGCTATTTGAACTGGTGGTAATCTCTTTTTTTTATTATTATTTTTATTTTTTTTTTAGAGATAGGGTCTCACTCTGTTGTCCAAACGGGAGTGCAGCGGAGCCATCAGAGCTCACTGTAACCTTGAACTTCTAGGCTCAAGTGACTCTCCTGAATAGCTTGGACTACAGATGAGTACCATCATGCTTGGCTAATTTTCTTTTTTTAGAGACAGGATCTTGCCTTGTTGCCCAGGCTAGTTTCAAACTCCTGGACTCAAGTGATCCTCCTGCCTCAGCCTCCCAAAATGCTGGGATTACGGGCATGAGCCACCACACCCAGCTTGATGGGTGACCTCTAGAGGCTGCTGAATCCACTGCCCTGCCTTCTAAACTCACTCCTACCCACTTCACCCCCACCTGCAACAGGATTCTCTCTGCTGGCAGAACAACCCCACCAACCTCTTTGGGGATGGCAGCCCACCATTTATCAAGCCAGGAAGTTCTTCTGACAGTCTACCTTAAATCTCTCATTGCTTCCCTCAGGGAAAATTGAAAAAACGAATACCAAAAAGATAAATGCTTATAGATAGGCGATGCCACACTATTTTTAAAAAATACCTCCACAGAGGGTAGAGGGGCGGGAATTACCTTCAGACACAATGCTCTTTACACTAAACATCTTGGCGATAAATATAGCTGTGTAATTCTTTTTTCTCCTTGTCAGAGAGAAAGGCTGAGGCTGGGCAAAAAGGCAGAGGGACCCGGAAATATAAATCAATATGTGACTTTAATATATGTGCTCTCGGTGTCTGTGTGTGCTGGGGGATTATTAGTAACCTTGATTTTAGCTCAGTGTCCATGTGAGGCGGGGAGATGTGTGGCCCCCAGGGAGGAGAAGAGAAATTAGGAAGCCAAATTCTTCTCCTGATTGACACCTGGGTAAACATTATCCTGGCAGAAGGGGAAGAAAAAAAGATCAATGCTGGGTATTTTTATCACGTTCCAGGGACGGATGGGGGGGAAATTAAAGAAACAGTCCCCTAGCATCACTGAATATGTCCGTCTTCAAAGAGTAGGTAGATGCGGTGGAACCCAGGAGGTGGAGCATGGGTGGGAGAGAAACAGACATGTCCCAGGGAGCAGTGGCCATTGCTTCTTCTGCCCTGATGAGTGTGAGTGGCAGCAGGTACAAAGGAGCCTTGCTTTGGTGGCAAGGCGAAGGCACCGGCTTTGAGGGAGAATCATAGACCACAGAGTCTAACTCAGATCAGACTCCGGCTTCAACAGAGGCCCAAGAGGCCTTTGTCTTCATGGGATTTGTCAGGGGGCTGTTTCTAGTGGAAGATTCCTAGTGTGTGGGGAGGGGGTAGTGGCTGCAGCAGCGGCTGGGGGTGGTGAGTGACCGAGGGTGAGTCAGTGCCCATGGGGCAGCAGCGACACCTCAGATCTACATTGTCTCAGATCTAGAGTCAGGAAAATCTGGCCTCCACCCGTTCCTGGCTGTATGACCTTGACCAAGTCATCTGACCTCATAGAGTCTCACCTTCCTTATCTGTAAAATAAAAGCAGGCACCCCCCACCCCACTGGTCTAAGAGGTTTTTAATGCAATTATAAAAAACACTGGACAGGGAGGGCTGAGGGGCTATTGCTATCTGGACAACACTGCCCTTAGAAATATACTGTGAGCCACACATGCACTTAAACAATTGTTTTTTAAATTAATTTGTTTTAGAGACAAGTTCTCCCTCTGTGGCCCAGGCCACAGTGCGGTGGCAAAATCATAGCTCATTGTGGCTTCAGCCTCCTGGGCTCAAGCAACCCTTTCACCTCAGCCTCCTGAGCACCTGGCTAGTTTTTGGTTTTTGGTTTTGTTTTTGTTTTTTTGAGTCAGAGTCTTGCTCTGTAGCCCAGCTGGAGTGCAATGGTGCAATCTTGGCTCACTGCAACCCCTGCCTCCCAGGTTCAAGCCATTCTCCTGCCGCAGCCTCCCAAGTAGCCAGGATTACAGGTGACTGCCACCACATCCGGCTAAGTTTTGTGTTTTTAGTAGAGATGGGGTTTCACCATGTTGCCCAGGCTGGTCTTGAACTCCTGACCTCATGATCCACCTGTCTTGGCCTCCCAAAGTGTTGAGATTACAAGAATGAGCCACTGCACTCAGCCCATATATATACTGTTAAATGTTCTAATGGTCACATTTTAAAAAGTAAAAACAGGCCAGGAATGGTCTTCACACCTGTAATCCTAATACTTTGGGAGGCTGAGGCAGGAGGATCAGTTCAAGACCAGCCTGGGCAACATAAGGATACGTCATGTCTACGGAAAAATTATCCAGGAGTGGTGGCACATCTGTAGTCTCAGCTACATGAGAGGCTGAGCTGAGCTGAGAGTATCACTTGAGCCCAGGAGGTTGAAGCTGTAGTGAGCTGTGATTGCATCACTGCACCCTGGGCAACAGAGTGAGACCCTGTCTGAAAAAAAAAGGGTGGCCGGGCCTGGTGGCTCACACCTGTAATCTCAGCACTTTGGGAGGCCGAGGTGGGTGGATCACAAGGTCAGGAGTTCGAGACCAGCCTAGCCTGGCCAATATGGTGAAACCCTGTCTCTACTGAAAATACAAAAATTAGCTGGGCATGGTTGTGCGAACTTGTAGTCACAGCTACTCAGGAAGCTGAGGCAGGAGAATTGCTTGAACCTGGGAGATTGCAGTGAGCTGAAATTGTGCCACTGCACTCCAGCCTGGCAACAAAGCGAGACTCCGTCTCGAAAACACAACAAAACAAAAAGGTAAAAAGAAACACTTCAAATTAATTCAAATTACATATATATATGTGTGTGTGTGTGTATATATATATGTATACAAAATATATATATATATATTTTATATATATATAAAATTTTTTTTTGTTTTTGAGATGGAGACTCACTCTGTCGCCCAGGCTGGAGTGCAGTGATACAATCTCAGCTCACTGCAACCTCCACCTCCCAGGTTCAAGCGATTCTCCTGCCTCAGCCTCCTTAGTAGCTGGGATTACAGGCACACGCTACCATGCCCGGCTAATTTTTTGCTAATTTTTGTATGTTTAGTAGAGATGGGGCTTTACCATGTTGGTCAGGTTGGTCTCGAACTCCTGACCTCGTGATCCACCCGCCTCAGCCTCTCAAAGTGCTGGGATTACAGGCATGAGCCACTGCACCCAGCCTATTATTATTATTATTATTATTATTATTATTATTATTTTGAGACAGAGTTTCACTCTTGTTGCCCAGGTTGGAGTCAAACCTCAGCTCACTGCAACCTCTGCCTCCTGGGTTCAAGTGATTTTCCTGCCTCAGCATCCCAAGTAGCTGGGATTACAGGCGTGCACCACCTTGCCCGGCTAATTTTGTATTTTTAGTAGAGATGGGGTTTCTCCATGATGGTCAGGCTGGTCTCAAACTCCCGACCTCAGGTGATCCACCCACCTCGGCCTCTCAAAGTGCTGGAATTACAGGTGCAAGGCACCACGCCCAGCCTCAAATATTTTTCAACTTAACCCAGTATATCTAAAATATCATCATTTCAGCATGTGGCACTAACCACATTCCAAGTGCCCTGAAGCCACACGTTTGGGCCAGCACAGAACTGGAATGAGAAGCCCCCAAGATAGGAGCTTCTGCCCGGACCTCTGCCCACCGCCCCACTCCGTGACAGTGAGGAGGGACCTCTGGAGGCAGAAGGTGAAGTAAGACCCTGAGAAATACAAGGCAGAAAAAAAGAAAAAGAAATACAAGGCAGAGCCCCCGTTTTGCTGTGGGCATGGGCAACTAACTATCTGGCCTCTCAGGTATTACAGTGCCCCAGCAGGGGCTCTCTCGGGGAGGCAGACTAATTAATGGCCAGTTCGCCAGCATAGGGGCGGGGCTGGGTATACACTGAGCTCCCTTTTCCGGAGTCCCCTGGCAAAGTCCCCTAGAGCAGCTGGGTTGGAGGGAGGAGCCTGACAGCTGGGCTTGGGAGCTTCTCATTCCGTCAGCGCCCAGTCTTCTGGCTGAAGCATCTAAGGTAAGGCCCCTCTCAGAGATGCACCATCTCTCCAATGGGACTAGCTGTGATCAAAGGCTGTAAAAAGGTTTCTTACACAAAAACAGTATGCTTGTAAGCCATGAAAGCATGCGAGGAAAAGTGAAAGTGAGGAGCAGGGGAGGGAGACGATTCCCTTCCGAGGCCACCCCTCCCTTGGTTGGCTATTGCTGGCTGTACCCCCAGGGTCTGCAGAGGCCCTCCAACTTCAGGGGGAGGCTTGAGAAAGAGGGTACGAGGGGAAGCCCAGAAAGGATGTGATTTTCTGAGAGCCACACAGCACACCCAGCAGTGAGTAAGCTGGACACACTGGGGTGGGGCCAGGATACCCAGGCCCTCCTACTCAGCTGCTCTAGGCGCAAGGGTTTGTGGGAAGGAGTGGACGGGGCTATGTCAGGGCAATGTGAAGGCAGCCCAGGGCTGGCAGGGCGGCCCTCTGGGTCTAGCCTGACATTTTCTGCTGGAGCCAGAGAAGAGGACCTGGAAACCTAGATCTCTCACACCTGAGCCAGATGATCCTGTGCCCAAGTGGCCCCAGCCCCTACTTCCCACTGGTCTTCCCTGTCCTAGCTGCACAATTGCCCTGCCTGGGGGAGAATGTGGAGAGAAGCACCAGGCTACCCCAGGACCAAGCCCCCAGCCCACCTGCCAGGTCCTAAGAGCCACAATGAGCCTTCAATTATTTTTATTGTTTAATTTTTTTAGTTTCATTCTTTCCAGGCTGGAGTAAAGTGGCTAGATCTCGGCTCACTGCAACCTCCACCAACGCCCCCAGGTTCAAGCGATTCTCCTGCATCAGCCTCCGAGGTAGTTGGGATTCCAGGCACCCCCCACTATACCCGGCTAATTTTCATCTTTTTAGTAGAAACCTCATTTTGTCATGTTGGCCAGACTGGTCTTGAACGCCTGACCTCAGATGATCCACTGGCCTCAATCTCCCAAAGTGCTTGGATTACAGACGTGAGCCACTGCCCAGCCCGAGCTGTATCTTTTGTGGTCTCTGCAACTAAGGGATAGATCTGGGATTTAATTTTTTTTTTTTTTTTTTTGAAGACAGGGTCACCCTCTGTCACCCAGGCTGGAGTGCAGTGGCATGAACATGGCTCACTGCAGCCTCAACCTCCTGGGCTTAAGAGACCCTTCTACCTCAGCCTCTCAAGTAGCCGGGGCCACAGGCATGCGCCATCACACCCAGCTAATTTTTTGTATCTTTGGTGGAGATCAGATTTTGCCATGTTGCCCAGGCTGGTCTCGAACTCCTGGGCTCAAATGATCTTCCTGCCTTGGCCTCCCAAAGGGCTGGCATGAGTCACCTGGCTCGGCCTCTTCATTAATTCATTTATTTATTTACACAGCCTCTTGCTCTGTCATCCAGGATGGAGTGCAGTGGCATAATCATAGCTCACTGCAGTCTACAACTGCTGAGCTCAAATAAGCCTCCCTCCCCAACCTCGAGAGCAACTGGGACTACAGGTGCATGCCACCACACCAGCTAATTTTTAAATTTTTTTGTACAGATGGGGCCTTGCAATGTTGCCCAGGCTGATCTCGAACTCCTGGCCTCAACTAATTTTCCCACCTCGGCCTCCCAAAGTGCTGGGATGAGCGGCATGAGGCACTGCCCCTGGCCTTTCTTCTTGTTTCAGATTTCTCCCTTCTTGGTTCTATCCTACAAAGAACTGTTTCCACAGACTTCCTCTCTGTACAGCTGTTTTCAGCCTATTCTTCCCAGATAGACTTATGGTGGTTCCTACTGTCTACCAAATTCCCTTTATTTATTTATTTATTTGTTTTTTTGAGTTGGAGTCTCACTCTATTGCCCAGGCTGGGGTGCAGTGGTGAGATCTTGGCTCACTGCAACCTCCACCTCCCAGGTTCAAGTGATTCTCCTGCCCGAGACTCCCAGGGAGCTGGGATTACAGGTGCCTGCCACCATGCTCGGCTGATTTTTGTATTTTTAGTAGCGATGGAGTTTCACCATGTTGGCAAGTCTGGTCTCAAACTCCTGACCTCAAGTAATCCGCCCGCCTCAGCCTCCCAAAGTGCTAGGATAACAGGCTCGAGCCACCACATCCGGCCCAAATTCCCTTTCAGACTCCTTGGTTCGGCATTCCAAGAGCCTTTCACCATCAAGCCCTTTCCCCCTGACACAAACAGGAACCTTGCTTCCAGCCCAACTTGCCGTGCCAACTGGCCCTGCCTAAGGCAGCCCAGCCTCCCTGCCTTTGCCTGGGCACTTTCTCCTCCTGCAACATGCTTCTTCCTCTCCACACCCACTTCTACTGATTGAAATCCATCCATTCTGCAAGGCCTGGCTCAAATGCCACCTCTTCTGGGAACCCTTGCCCGGTAGCCTCATCAGAAATGCCTGCCCTCCTCTGATCCATCTCCCATAGCTCCTTGCATGTCCCAGGCCCTGGATCTTTCTCTCTCACAGCCTCAGACTTCCGGTCAGCCTCTGGAAATGGAAGCCCCTGGAGGGCAGAGCTATCCGGGCTGTCTGTGAGTCCTCTCAGAATCCATTTCCCACCGTCACACTTCCTGTCCTTAGCACTCCCCACCCCAAGGTAACGCCAAGGTCGGAAGTGAGAAAAAATAGATGAAACAACATTTTGCACATCACATTGTAAACCCCACTCAGGCACTCCCCTCCTCCCAATAGTCTTACTGGACTCCCGCCCACCCTTGGCTCTGGTCCTTCTGGCTCCTCCCCATACACGCAGTCCAGATGTCCAAGCCTGAGCAGCTCACCTGAAGAGACCCTGTGTCTGTCTCCATTCTGAGGCTGGGTCTCTGTGTGCTGCCAGTAGACCTCTGGCCTCCCCATCAGACTGGGATCACTGGGAATGTGAGGACCTACCTTTTTTTGTCTTTGTCTCTTTTTCGCAATCCATTCAGTGAAGGATTTCAAACAGCTTTGGAGACACATGTGACAAGATAAAAAATGAGAGAGGAAGCTGGAGGTGGGAGAGGTCCTACTTCTTCCTCCCCCAGGCTCTGTCTCTGGCACCTTGCCAAGGGCACCTTTCACCAGTCACAGGACTTTGTTGGGATCATTCATCCTCCTTTCCAGCACCCTCCTCCCTTGCCGACCCACCAGGCTCTGCTGCCAGCCCAGGCCCTGCCAGCCCCAGCTCCACCTTCCAGTCCCTCTCCTTCTCCCACCCCATCTGCAAGCACAGCACATCACAGCTGTCTGATTAACTCAATTGATTAATTAAGCTCTAATGAGAGCCATGGCTCACCCCTACAGCTGCTGACCGGGAGGCCAGCCGTGCCCGGAAGGGCACTGAGGCTGCAGGCATGGTCTTATGAGGGCCCAGGGGAGGCAGCTCAGTGGCTGGTACCACTGAGCCAGTTGGGGGGCACAAAGCTTGCCTATGGCTAGGTCTCCCCAAAAGCCCACATAGTGAGGGGTGGGCAGAAGGGTTGCCCCCTCAGCCAATCAGTCAGTTCCAAGATGGCACATCTGGCACCGACCCTGCTGAAGGCAGGGAGGGCAGAGCAGATATTGATTAGCCGAGAGGTGCAGGAAGGGGACTAGATTCCTTCACAGTCCCACCTTGACTCCCGGGGCTTAGAGTGCCCCAGGCCCAGAGAGTAGTGACCGTGAGGAAGCTGGGCACTGGCCAGAGGAGCCAGACTTAGCCCTGCCAACAGCCACCAACCCTGTGGTTTCTTCCATCCCAACTTCCAGCCATGTGGTGACAATACCGCCACCCAGCTGCTGGCTTCCAATCCCAGATAGGCACAAGGCCTCTGCAGAGCAGGTCCTCACTTCCCGTTCCTCCCACCTCCAGCCTCCCTCACCACCCGACCACCGACCACCGACCCGTCCCACCCCCAGGCTCTGTCCCTTGTCTGGGATAGGGGACAAATGCCCTCCATTAGCAACAATCATTGGCTGGACACAATGGCTCATGCCTGTAATTCCAGCACTTAATCACGCCTTAATCCTTGGCCTTGGGAGGCTGAGGTGGGAGGATCAATTGAGGCCAGGAGTTCAAGACCAGCCTAGGCAACATAGCAAGGCCTCCGTCTCTACACAAAATTTTAAAAAAGAAAATTAGCTGGCAAGGTTGCTCACACTTGTAATCCCAGCTACTCAGGAGACTGAGGCAAGAGGATTGCTTGTGCCTAGGAGTTTGAGGCTGCAGTGATTATACCACTGCACTCCAGCCTGGGCAAGGGTGGAATCTTGTCTCAAAAAAATTTAAAAAACAGGGCAGATGCAGTGGCTCATGCCTATAATTGCAGCACTTTGGGA